CCCCCCCGGCCACGTCCCCGCCCTCCCATCCCCATAACCCAGGACACCACCACCCTCACGCACCTTGGCCGGGCGTGGCCCCAGGCTGCCCAGCTCGTCCTCGGCGCCGGGCTCGGGGACCTCGCGCGCCTGGTCCACCAGGACCAGCGTGGAGCCCATGCCAAACATGCCGTGGCGCGGCGCGGGGCGCACGGTGTGGTGCGCCGCCAGCTTGGCGGCGACGTGGGCGGGGACCAGGCCGCCGCGCTGGCGGTCGGCCATCACCGACAGGTGGCGCTGCAGGTAGTCGCGCGCGTCGTCGCCCAGGTCCGAGCCGAAGGAGGCCTCGGAGCGGGGGGTGTCCACCTCCGACGCGGCCTGGTGTGGTTGGGGGGGAGGAGGGGGGGGGCTCAGAGAGGAGGGGGGCTGGGTGAAGTGGTCCTGTGAATAGGATGCAGAGCGCGGAGTGCGGAGTTCATGGGAGGGAGGAATGGGTGACGAGGGGCGGGCGGTTGGGGGGAGACGAGGGTTTGCTGGAATACACCGGCAGCCTCACACGAGGCAGGTGAGGGGGCCAGCTGCGTATGTGCACCCCTGCGTACGTGCAGCCCCGCTACATACACCCACCAGTCACAACCCCCCATCAAGCCAGCCGCTCAGGAACGCACTATGCTGCCCACGACCGAGCCGCTCTGGGGCAGGAAGCCGATGTCCTGGGGCTCCACCACCAGGAAGGAGAAGATGACGAGGCCTGGCGAGGGTGGATAGTGCAGGAGGGGTGTGGGGGGAAGGAGCGTCACCGGCAAGCCCACCGCCGCACAGTGAACCGCGGGCCCACTATTCACATCCGAGCAGGGCGCCTGCACGGCATCCCGCATGCTCCCAGCGCTGGCCCTGCGCACCCATCACGACTATGACGATGCCGGGGACGATGAAGGACCAGCCCCAGCCGTACTGCAGCATGTATGCCGCCAGCAGCGAGCCCAGGATGTTTCCTGGAGGGTGAGGGGAGTCCTGGGGTTGGGTTCCCTGCGGCGCCAGACATGCCTCGCCTGTCTCCCAAGGCAGCAGCAACCTCACATGGCCCAGGGAAAGTCCACTTCTCCCACCCCCTCCCCAGTGCAACCCTCCCTCCTGCCTGCCCCCCCCCCCCCCAAAGGGACCCACCCACGGAGGTGTGCGCGTTCCAGAGGCCCATGATGAGGCCACGCTTTCCTTTCCCAAACCAGTTGGCCATCACGCTGACCACACTGGGCCAGCCGGTGGCCTGCAGCAAGCCTGTGTCGGATGGGGCGCCACGCGCTTTTGGTGAGCTTGCGCTCCAGACGCGTGCTGAGCTGGGCGCATGCTGAGTGACAGCTCTCCCTCCCAGAAGACACCACCACACACTGGAAAGGGCCTCAAGTGTCCCCCTGTCACGCCGGCTCACCTCCCACGATCTGCACGGCGATGAAGTAGCCGAGCGTGTGGATGTTGAGGAAGTAGGCTGCGCCCATGAGGATGACGCAGGTGCCGCTGCCGATCATTCCCCCTGTGGGCATGGATGGGAGGGGGGCAGGGTCGGGCATGCAGGGCTTGCGCCACCCTGTGCCAGCCGCCTCGGACGCACACAAAGAGCCTCTGCAGCCGCAGTTGCACCATGCACGCGCCGACCACCCTACCGGTGAGGAAGTATCGCAGGTCCACGCGGTCTCCAATGTGCCCAGCACCAAACATGCTGACTGTGCAGGGAGTCGGAGGAGGGGAGGCTCACTGCCCGCGCCCCACGCCATCGATGCACACCGCATCCCAGTGACCTGCCCCATGCATTGAGCAGTTGAGGGTCGATGCACGCAGGCCCTACCCTGCGACCCCGTCCATCCACCAACCCCCATTCCATCCCCCAGCGCACTGGCATAGGCTGCGAGGAAGGAGAGGTCCAGAGCCCCCAGCAGCGCATTGCCCTGCTTGGGGTCGTTGAATGGAGCCCACCCCCCTGCGTCCTCGGCCCTCCCGAGAAAGCCTACGGGGCAATGGGCATTGGGAGTGAGGGGCGGACCGCTCTTGGGTGGGGGTAACAGAATGAACAGATTCCCACTTGTTAAGACCTTGCATAAGAAGACTGAAAAGCGCACCAAACCTACTTACCCACAAAAATCCTGGAAAATTCATGCATTGGAGCCTGATATGCAGACCCCACCCCACCTGCTGCCAGGGCGTCGGTGGGTTTTGGGTTTCCACCGCTGCCGTGCAGGACCGCCTTGACAATAGATGGCGGTTTGCGGGAGGCATGGTACGAGGTGTAGCACAGAAAGGTGAGGCCCAGCACCAGGAACCTGTTTGCCTGGTGAGCAGCGGCGCGATAGGGGAGAGCGATGGTTGGAGCTCAGACTAGGGGAGTCCAAGAAGAAGCGCGATACCATGACAAGGCCAAGTCTCGGTTGCTCCAGCAGCCCAGTGCTTGGAGCCGACCGGACCGTCCCGTGCACGAGCCACAAAGGCGTCCCGTCGCCCCTACTCACCTACACGAGCGCAGACCCCCCCCAGCACCCCCTCACCTTGAGGGAGAAGCCCCGCCCGCCGGCGACCTTTTCCAGCAGCCTGTGTCCCCAGGGCGCGGAGTATGCCCAGGGGTCCATGGCTCGCGACGACGGCTCTGCGGTGTTGAGCGGCTGCGTCTCGCCCGAGGAGTCTACGACGGTGGTCTCAAAGGCCACGACGCGGCGGGGACGGTCCGGGGACCTTCGACTGGAGCTGGCTCCCACCAGGGAAGGGCGGAGGTTGGGTCTCAGGGCCCGGGCCGGTTGCTCGGCTCCGGGCGCGGCGCCTTGGTCCAAGGTTGCAGCTCGCAGAGGCGCAGGGCGGCAGAGGCAGCCTGCTGCGCTGTCGCTGCCTGCCGCACCTGGGAGAGGCAGGCGGAAAATGGAAGTTGATGTGGCTGAGAAAGGACTGATGCTGACTCTGATGACACGGCTCAGGATCACAATGATCGGGCACATGGAGTTGCCCCCCCGCCCTTGTTAGCATGCAGGGGGTCCCACCTCAGAGTCAGGGGTACGCCACCAAACTGAGGGTCTACGGTACTCCTGCAGGGGAGGGGCCGGTGAGGAAGACCTGATCGGGGGCCTTTACATCATTGAGGAGGGGCGGGATGGAGGGGCTGAGCCCAGCACTGCCGGAAGGAGCCACCACCGTTCAGTCGATCAACTTCCGAGAGGGCACAGACACTGGAACTATCATGCCAAGCACCAAACCATACCATCATGCAAGTGTCCCGAGGGAGGCGCGGCGGGAGATGGGATCCTTGAGCAAGCGCGTGCCACCTCCAACCCTGCCATCAGTGCGCACCTGGGCCGGTCGATACACGGTGTCGTCAGTAAACGAGCCAAATCTGTTTTGAACGAGTTCAGAGGATGATTCTGGCAAGCTTACCAACCTGGTGTCACCTCCGTGACTCTGCTGGCGGTTCTGTAAGCGCGCGGAGGTGGTAGGACGGTACATGCACCTGCTGCTGGACGGTCCCCTCACGATTCCCCTTTCAACTTCTAGTCAATCATCATACAATTGCCTCAAGCTGTATGATACGCCTCACCATCACACTCACGCACATTCAAGAACGTGAAATATATGACTACAAATCTCCTTGCCTTGCACCCACACCTTGGTTCTCAAAGCATGCATTGCTGCAGCATGGTGAAGCCAGTCGGGAGCAGCAACGCTGATTCGGATACATGCACAATGTAGCACAGGGACATCGCTATAAGTAACTCCCTACCTTTGGTGCCCTACTTTTGATGCTTCACATCCAACTTAGAGGCTCATTTCCTTGACAGGGGCCTAGGCCATATCTGATGTCATTCAGCAACAATGAGTGGGTGACAAGTATGTATTCGAAGCTGTGTCTAGTGGATTCACTCACAGCGTGAAGCCTTGGAAGGCATTAGCAATCGTTTTGCCCTGCCTAGGGTTTCAGCTTGGCGGCAGGCGCCAACGTTGTCCTCCGCCATTGACGATTCCCACCCGTATCCAAGCCACATCCAATTTCGCAATGCTAAGACCCAGCCACTTACGTCGACTCGTGGTTAAAGTGTTCGGCAGCTCTCGTAAGCTTTATTGTCGGTATTTCTTGCATGCCGCGGCCCGACTCGTCGGCGCAAGAAGGCCATGAGGATGGTTTTTGCTCTGTTGAGGATTGCACATCAACCATCGGCTGGAAAACTATACAGACTCCGCATTGCTCGGTGCGACGGGCTCGAGATCTCGCGCGAGCCGAGTCCCGCCTAGGAGGTCGCTTTCCGAGATGGGCCACTACGACGTCATCGTGGTTGGCGCGGGAGGCACGATGGGTTCGAGTGCCATGTACCACCTGGCAAGGTCTGGGTCCAAGGCAAGCAGGCGGGGAGTCAAGGGTGGGTGTGGCGCATGCACGAAACGGTCGCGTTGATCAGCGAGCGGCATTCGAGGGGTTAAGGCTGAGAGTTTCCAAGAGGCTGACGGCTTCCCGTAATTTTGAAGCTATAGAGGCCATTGCATGTGGCCCTCAACAAGTCTAGTTGAAGCACTGGACTTTACAAAATTCCTGTATGCCAGGCCTGGCCACGTGGTGTTCCCTTCAGCAGCTGTGCTCTGATGATTCTCCCATTCAACAGGTGCTGGGTCTGGAGGCCCAGCCACAGGCTCCTCACACCGCCGGCTCACACCATGGGCTGACACGGATCATCCGCCTGGCCTACGCAGAGCACCCTTGCTACGTCCCCCTCCTGAAGCGTGCCTTCGAGCTCTGGCGCCAGCTGGAGGTGGAGAGTGGGCAGGTGGGTTTCCCGGGAAGGGGATTGGGACTTGCCCTGCAAGGGGGGGCGCACCAAACCTTGGGCCCCCCTGCATCTGCCTTACGTACATCCCTAGCATGAGATTGCACCTCCCCCAAACCCCCTCCTGCCCCCAGGACCTGCTCAAGGAGACGGGGTGCATAAACATGTCACCCAAGTCGCTGCCAGACTCTTGTTTCAAGGGGGCGCAGGCCTCAGCCCAACTGCACGGCCTGACGCACGAGGTCCTGACGCCTGCCGAGCTGCAAGGACGATGCCCTGGGTACGCGCCGCCCGAGGACTTCCAGGTGAGGAGTCCCCTGGGTTTGGATTCACAATCCTTGTCACGCATGCTTGCTCCCACATCCTCTGCCTGCCTGCTTGCCTTTTGTCGCTGGCATGCACTCTCAGCCTGTCCCCACTCGATCCCCCTTCCAAATATCCAGATCATCTTGGAGCCGGTGGGCGGCGTGCTCTGTCCCGAGCGATGCATCGCAGCCCACCTCGCGGGCGCCGCGGCCGCCGGGGCGGAGGTGCTGTACGGCGCCGCCGTCACGCGATGGGGTGTAGAACCCGGCGGCCAGGTCAGCGTCCAGGCAGGGCCCGACGCTCAGACCCACACGGCCGACAGGCTCATCCTGGCCCCCGGCGCCTGGCTTCCCAGGCTCGTCCCTGAGCTCAAGGCAAGGCGGGTGTTACTGCGCGGCCCCTTCTGTTTCTCGATGCCTTGAGCCTTGGGGTGGGAGGGCGGTGCATCTCTGGAGGGCGGTGCCGAGCCTTCGATTTAGGGGTGTCTGGACTGGAAGTGGGCCAACCTCCTGCCATAGCTGCACGGTGGGGGTGACTCTTAAGCACAGCGCCGTGCACACATGTTCCACTTCCAGAGCTCCTGACCTGGGCTCACAATCCCCCCCGCCCCCACCCCCGCCCCCTTTACTTACCACCCCAGAGCTTGCTGACCGTGGAGCGCCAGGTGGTCGGCTGGTTTGACATCGAGGGCGACGCCTCCCACTTCAGCCCAGACAGCTTCCCGGTGGCGGTGCTCGACGACGAGACCGGGATGTTCTACGCCTTCCCCGCGGACGCGCACGGCTTCAAGATCGGGAAGATGCACCACCGACGGCAGGTCACCGAGCCGGACGCCCTGGACCGAGCCATCGTCCCAGAGGACGAGGCCACGCTGCGAGTTGCAGTCCAGCGGTACTTCCCCGGCGCCGCAGGGAGGCTGAACCACGCGGCAGCCTGCCTCTTCACAAACACCCCAGATGAGGACTTTGTGATAGACGTGCACCCCCGCCACCCCCAGGTGAGGAGAGGGTGTCGCTGGGAGGTCGGTGTGCCGATTCCTCCCCGTGCCGGGGATCAGATCTCGCAGCCCCGGGGAGGCATGCGCTGCCGCCGCCCTAGGCCCCCATACACGACCAAGACCATGTCCATTCCCCCAAATCTGAATTCCGCACAGGTGATCATCTGCTCGGCGTGCTCAGGTCACGGCTTCAAGTTTGGCAGCGTGATCGGGGAGGTCCTCAAGGATCTTGCTCTGACGGGCGGCACATCCCTGGACATAGACTTCCTGAGGCTGAGCAGCCTTCGGAAGGGCCAGGCTGCGGTGCTCGAGGAGTTTGGCAAGCAGGAGCCCGCCTCGGCATGAGCTTGCTGTGAGAGGTCAAGGCACAGGGGCCACTGGCCGCCTGTCGATGTGCGTGCTTGAGATGGACTTGTATTGCTTGCTTACCAAGGACATCGTGCATCTACAGTCCTGGGTATGGCTATGCGTCCTGAAAACACTGAAGCTTCGACTGGAAACGAATGCCTGATCAAGTAGTAATGTAATCATCTATCATACACAGTCTCCTAAACCAGAAGCAGTGCTGGTGAATCTGACGACATGACAGATGCGCACAACGAAACCCTAATCCATGTTGCTCCGACTCGAGCCAATCGATACGCGGCGCACCCGCGGGGTCAAGTCTGCATGCTTCGAGATGTCCGGAAGGCGGTATCTTGATTGACGAAGAACAATTACAAATCTGACACAAACATCGAGAGATCGGGTGTGTAAGACCTGTACGCTACAACCCTCCGACCCTAGCTCAGGCTAGAGAACTGGGCCAATGTTCGATGTGATTGTGGTTGGGGCGGGAGGGACCATGGGGTCCAGTGCCCTGCATCACTTAGCCAAGTCTGGTGTGAAGGTGAGACCGGGTTCCCGACCTTGGATCCGGGGGCCAGGGCGAGATCCACACCGGCGCTGGACAATCTCGCTGTTTGTTCAACTCTCGTCCGTGTCAAGCCACCGCTCCTGTGTGGCCTCTCAAGAATCATTTTGCCTGGCGTTGCCCCGTTTGAATCATTCTTACGTGTGTCTGGTACAATTGCATCACTTGGTGTGGCTTTCCATCTTACAGGTCTTGGGGTTGGAGGCTCAAGCCGAGGCGCCTCACTCAAACGGCTCCCACCATGGGCACACTCGGGTGATCCGTACAGCCTACGTGGAACATCCTTCCTATTTGCCCCTTCTTGGTCGCGCCCACCAGCTCTGGCAGGAGTTGCAGCAGGCATCGGGGCAGGTGAGCGATGGAGCAGAGACAAGTGGGTGATTGTTGTGACGCATTCTGCACATGCAAGAGTGCCGTCCAGGCTCGAAGGGCACTCCAGGCTTCAGAGTCCTCTATCCCCCTTTCTCCCCCCCCTCCCCACACACAAAGGTTCTGCTGGAGACCACAGGGTGCATCTATTCATCGGAGGGTACCCTGGAAAATTCATGCACACAGCATGCCATTCATGTTGCTGGTGAGCATGCTTTGGAGCACCGTATTTTGGCGAAGGCTGAAGCTGCCAAACTCTTCCCGGGCTATCGCGCTTTCCCAGAGGATGCAAAGGTGATGAAGGGCTGGGGATTGCTTTGCCTGCCAAGCTTCATGCACAGGAAGAGGTGCGGGATCCAGGCAGCAAGGGGCCCCTGGTACGCCCGCGATAGAATGCGAAGTAAAGCCTGGCGCATCAGGCTCTATTGCACAGCACCATGCCTCTGGACTCTTTGATCAACACCAGCATTATACATCCCCACCCAACAGTTCATGTATGAGCCAGCAGCGGCTGTGCTGCAGCCAGAGGGCTGCATTCGTGCCTCCCTCACCCTTGCCCTCTCAGCGGGAGCTGAGCTGGTCTGCGGGGCAGCGGTGACAGGGTGGCGGGTGGACGATCAGGGGACTGTCCATGTCCACACCAGCAAGGGGGAGTACGAGGGCAGGAAGCTCATCCTGGCGCCTGGGGCATGGCTTCCCAAGCTGGTCCCCGAGCTGCAGGTGCGCGTCGGCTGCATGCTTTGCCACGCTGTGCTTCCCCTGGCATGGCATCGTCCCCTTACATGCCCATGTTCCACCCCACCAACACAGAGCCTGCTCAGCGTGGAACGGCAGGTGGTGGGCTGGTTTGAGGTCTTGAACGGGTCTGCAGACTTTGATGCTGACCGATTCCCCATGTTTGTCATGGACGACAGGGACGGGTGAGGCGGGTGGGTGGGTTTGGTGGTTGAGAGAGGGAGGCTGGTACGGGAATTCTCAATGAATGACATACAATGGCACTGTATGGTGGGTTACTTGGGGTAGGAGGATTATTTCTCAACCTCCGTAATCTTCTCGAGCAGCGCAGATGCTACTATGGTAAGATGGTGCTCCAGATCATTGACAGACTGCAGTGTGTGATCGCGACCAACTGAGGGTCGGCAGCCATTCGGGCGTCAACAAAGCTTCGCGACACTTCCGAGGGCGCACAGTGTATGGGTCCCAGGGTCACAGACCTCGCCAGAGCCCAGGTCCATGCTCGCTGCCTGCCTGTGCAGGGTTTCCCAAAGACGCCCGCGGTTTCAAGTTTGGTAAGATCCACCATCTGGGAGAGATTGTCGACCCTGACAGGGTGGCACGTCACACCACTAGCCTCGACGAGGCCACCCTACGCCGGGCGGTGCACAAGTACTTCCCCGGCGCGTCGGGCCCCCTGAACCATGCCGCCGTCTGCCTGTACACCAACACACCAGATGAGCACTTCCTGGTCGACCAGCACCCCAACCATCCCCAGGTGGGGGGATTGACGAGGGCTGGAGGAGGAGGCCGCCTCTGCATCTGCCTGGGCATGGCCCACGGCGGCACAGGGGCGCCCCTGCCACTTGACCCCTCCCGTCCTCCACCCCACCCCAGGTCATCCTCTGCTCCGCGTGCTCGGGCCAGGGCTTCAAGTTTGCCAGCGTGATGGGCGAGGTGCTCAAGGACCTGGCCGCCAGCGGCGCCACTCGCCACGACATCGCCTTCATGCGCCTGGATCGCAAGCGCCCAGGCCACGCCCAGGTTCTCGACAGCTTCCAGGAGAGCGCACAGGGTCTGCAGCCCTCCTCTCGGCTCTAGCGGCAGGGGGGCAGCCTGTCGGAAGCGGCTGGTGCGCGAACAGAACATTGCAGTTCAATATGTCTCGGCATTGACTCCACCCTCCCTGCACTCACTGATTATTTCAAGCGATTGCCGCCTGGGGGTGCCACTTGGCATCGCCGCAGTGCTTCCTATGAACTGCTTCCACACGGTGCAACACTGTTACATAACTTCATGCCCTCACAACCACACGCTTCTTTCCCAAGCTGGCACTGGACGAGGGTCCTGTGCCCTTTCTTGGCTTCTTCTTTATGCTAGGCATGATGAGCTTGGGACGCTTGGCCGCCGGGCGAGCCTCCTCTGGCTCGGAAGCAGGCTCTTGCACCGCATGTGCAAAGGCTGCGCTGCTGGGTAACCCTGGCCCCCCGCTCGCCGGTAGTGGTAGGGTTGGCGCCTCCGGCAGGGGAGGTGGCGCAGCGGCAAAGGCAGCCCCTGGAGGAAGGGCACGAGGAGTGAATTCTCCTCAGAGATTGCTGTTTGACTGGTAAGGAGCCAGGCAACTACACGCGAGCTCTCACCCTGCCAGGGCCGCATGCCCAATGCCACTTCGGCCCTAATCCCCCAAAGAACTCGTGCTCCTCCCACCTGTCAGCTGGCTCTTCAGGAACACCTTGGCCAGGAGCTTTCTGGAAGCAGTGTGGTGCAGCCGCAGCGTCCTGTCCAGGCCGGCTGATGCCAGGATTGGCAGGGTGGGATGGAGGGTCAGAGCCTTCACAGAGCCTGTGCAGGGACGGGGTGATATAACAGGTTTCACGGACGCCACGCATGAAGCCTCGGGCACCTGGCACTCTGCACCTGGCCTAGCGCACCGGCCGGGAGGGCAATACCATCCTCGATGCCACCAGGAAACTGCGCCACCCCTTTCGTCCCCCCCCCCCCCCCCCTTACCTCGCCCGTCTCCAAGTCGAGACCTAGAGAGCAAAAGCCCCAGGCGAGGAGAACACCCCCTCCTGCATCGCCTCCCAGGAACCCCCACCATCGCACCTGCGGCCCCCTTTATACCCCCCACCACGAGGCCGCTGGGCAGCTCCAGCACCGCAATCTGCCCCTGGCCGTTAGCGACCCAGCAACGCGTGCCGCTGGGCTCAGACGCCAGTGCCGTGATTCTTGCCTCGCCCCAGCCCACGTCCAGCTGCGGGCGCCGGCCTGCGGCCGTGTCGTACAGCCGCACCCGGTGGTGGCCCGTGCCCACCACCAGCCGGGCGCCGGCGGGTTCCTCCTCGCCCGCCGGGGGGGGGGGAGGGGGGCAGAAAGGCCAGTGCGGTGTTCCAGGGCCGGTCCACGAGGCCTACGCGGCTGGGTTTGCCCCCCCGCCCGGCAAACGCGACGCCGCCGTCGGCGAGGGCGTGCAGGCGCAGTTCGCACCCCCTGCCCCCGACCGCCAGCAGGCGGCCGGTGGGGTCAACCCCGGAGCACTCCACCTCCTTGCAGGCCGCCTGCCAGCGCCAGGCCTCCGCCCAGGCCCCGTCGTCAGGCTGCCGGGCAAAGCCGCGCACACAGCCGCCGGCCGACACCGTCACGATCGTGGGCTCACCCGACCCGGGCACGACGTGCACGCTTCGCACCCCCTCCCCGCTCCCGCTGGCGGCAGGCTGGAGGGGGGCGGCGGCCTCGCCGTTCAGACCCTGCAGGCACGACACCTCGCCGTCCGCCTGGCCCACCAGCAGGGCATCGGGGCGGGTGCCCTCGCCGGGCAGGCTCGCCAGGCTTGTGATCGCCCTCGCAGCGCTCACAGTCCCCCTTGACGGTGAAGGTGGTGAAGTGAGGAGTAGGAGGATGCTCCAGGTGTACAGGGTACGTGGGGATGGCCCCTGCAGAGTACCATTTACTGGAGTCCCCCACTCCCTCCCCATACAACTCACCAGGTCGCGGAGCGAGCAGCGGTCGCGTACTGTGCTGCCACATCGACAACTGCATGAGTGATGGTGAGGCTTGAGCCGATACTCAGTACAAAGGCACCATGCCAGCTAGCCCTGGATGACGGTACGTTGCGGCCTCTAGCGAGCCGCTGCTGGCACCCGAGCCCAGCACTCACCCTTCACTTGGCCTAGCTCATCTGATACGAGGACTCGGAGGGGAGGCGAGCTCTTGACATCCGTCATTGGAAACAATGTAGCATGATAAATACAAATATACCACGTTCGTGTCCTTCCCAGAAGACTCTGCAAGGGACGTCGAGCACCCACTGGCCGAAGGCGCCGGCGCCCTCATCGTAGGCCCGGGGCAAAGGTGCCAGGCATGAACACGAAAGGAGGGTTCGGGTGGGGTGTCGAGGTCATAAGCATATATCAAACTCAACATGGGTGCCAAAGGGAAGACCGTGAAGCGCCGAACCCCCAAGCGGGGAAAGAAGGCTTGGCGCAGCATCGACACAGACGATGTGGGTTTTAGGAGAGGCGCATGGTGGGGGTTCCTGCTCACGGTGCATGGGTTGGATTAGCATACCCTGCCAAACCCATGACGATGTGCAGGTCACTGCAGCTGCGGCAGAAAAATCCAGGCAGGAGCGGCAGGGGCTGGACTTCGACCGTGTCCCAGATGCAGACTTGTTCTTTGTCGACAAGGTGACTCCCGGGATGAGCCGAGGGGCGCTGGGTCTTGGGACAGAGGACTAGAATTCAAGTATTCAAGTGCACACGACATGGATCTTCGCCTCCTGAGCCCCTGCATGCCATCGGCAGGGTGATGCGAGTGCTGGCCCCTCGACCTCCGACGTGGAGGCCCCTGCTGCCGAGGCACCCGCCAAGCTCAGCAAGAAGGAGGCGGCCCGCGCCCGACCCCTCCGCTCCCAGGCCATCCTGGCGGCTGCCCACACCGCCACCCCGGTGCACCAGATCCGCGGCGGCGTGAAGAAAGCGCAGAAGAACGGCAATTCCGGTGTGGTGGCAGCCTCCGGAGGGAACACCGGGCTCGCCCGCCAGGGAAAGAACGACGCAACAAGGCTGTACGACCTGTGGGACGACGGGCCCTCCGCGCTCAGTCGTGCCGCCCGGAAGAAAGCGGCGACGCGCAGCCTGCACAGGGACGCCGTGCGTGCTGTGGAGGTTGACGCACCGGGGTGCTCCTTCAACCCCGACCCCGAGGAGCAGCAGGAGGCCATCGCCGTGGCCGTGGCGGCGGAGATGAAGAAGATTCACCAGCAGGTGGGGCAGCCTAGATCCTGGGCTGTCTGCCCATGGCACCCTGTACCATGGTATGGGGCTCTTCAATGGGCCAACAGCTATTCCCTCTCTTCCCCTCTTGCAACGACAATAGGATGCCATGCCGACGGCGCCGCCCAAGAAGGTGGATTATGACGTGGAGGAGGATGAGCTGGCGCTGCTCCAGGTGGACGAGCCAGAGTCAGAGGAGGAAGACGTCATAGAAGGGGCAAGGGATCCTGGGGCGGCATCGAAGACCGGGCCAATGAAGGTGGGGTTATAGAATAGGGGCTGTCCCTTCCTCGTATAGATGTTTCTGTGACCCGAGCTAGCCTTCGTGAGAAACCGTCACTGCTGGACTCCCACCCTCGCTGGGCCTGGACCTTGTGCATGCTTCTCTCTGCCCTGCAGAGGAAGAAGACAAAGGTGGACAGGAATCGTGCAGCCAGGCGGAAGGCGGCCGAGGTGGCACAGGCGGCAGCCCGAGCTGCCAAGGCGAAGCGTGCCGCCCTCGCAAACCTGCCCACCCTCTTGAAGGAGATTGATGCAGAGCAGGAGGAGCTTGCAAGCCGCCGGCTGAGGCGCAAGGTGGGTGGGGAGTTGGAGAGGATTCTCGAGGCATGCTGCCCGTTGGGGCCCAGACGGGGTGCAGAACAACCTGCGCCTGGTATCCCTAACGCTGCCTGGACCCACCCCCCCCACCTTCATTGTACGCAGCTGGACAAGGCGGAGACCACAGCGGGTCTCCCGCCCCGGCTGGGCAAGACCAAGTTTGAGGGCATGCCCCTGCAGCTGCTGACGACAGACGAGGTGAATGGCAGCCTGAGGAAACTCAAGCCCACAGCGTCTCTGGCCAAGGACAGGTGGGTCGAGCTGCCGCGCTGGCAGGGGTTGAGAGCTGGATGGCAGTTGTACTGCCGGTGGCTAGCCAAAGCTTAGATTTCCTGTCTACGCCCCATTGGGATTCCTGGAAACCGGTCATGTCACTGATCATGTCCCTGCTTTTTGCTCTGATGCTATGGCGTTGGATCTGGCACCAGGTAGCACGCTTGAAAGGATATTTCAACTGCTGACGCAAGAGTCATGTTTCCCCTGGCTCGGCTGATGGCTCCTACCCTCCAAACCCTCCAGATTCAAGAGCCTGCAGCAAAGAGGCATCATAGAGCCTCGCAAGCAGATCAACAAGAAGACGCCCAAGCGCGTCGCCTTCATCCGCGGAGAGAAGGGGGAGACTGAGAGGGAAGGGCACGCTGCCATCCTCGCCGCGCGGCAGAGGGCCAAGGGCCGCGCCTAATTCAGGAACGCTGCTTGCCTGGTACGTCAGGCTTTTCCATGCGCCGCGGTCTGGGCAGCATGCTGCAGTGCGCGCTGCCTGGTGAGCAAGTGCCTGACGGTGTTGAGCTCCTTGGTGCGCAGCATGAGCAGCCTGGAAAGTGGGAATGGGGAGGGGGGGTCAGGGAGCAGATCAGGGTATACTTTTAGGCGGGGATCATTAAGTTCAAGGCTCAGCCAGATCAAAGGACCGCGATGGGCCCCCCCTCTAAAAGACGCACGCCAAATGGGACTGATTCACTTGTTGCTATCAGATGAGGTAAAGGAGCCGGTGCGGTCTCAAAACTAGTTATGAGGGTTGGTCTTTCTGTATGCCGTGCCCACCATCCGAGCATGCCACCCAGGCACAAGCGCCTTCCCACCTCTCGCTGCGAGCTGCGCTCTCCTGCGCGGCCCTCACACATGCGTCCGCCTCAGCTGCTATACCCGCCTTCTCTGCCTCAAAAGCCTCCGCCAGAGCGACTATGTCGGCATGCAGCGCTCCCATGCTGGCCCGACAGAGCTCAAGCTCCCGCGCCTGGCAATCGAGGGGTGGGTATACGGAGGCTTGGCGGCTGACGGCGCATGCCGTGCAGTCATCTACTTGGGAGCTCGCTGCTCCCCCCCCCCCCGCAAAGCCGCCCGGCCTGAGCCCCAGACCGGCGGGCTGCCCTCTCGCCGACGTCCCGCGCCTCCTGCGCCTCCCGCCCCAGGCAGGCCAGGCTTTCTTCTCGGCTCGCCAGCAGGCGCTGCACATCCTGCGCACCCTGCCTCGAAAAGGGAGGGGAGGGGTTCAGTGCAACAGGTTCGCATCTGGGTGTGAATGCCGGTGAACAGAAGCTCCTGGGACTGGGCTGGCATTTGCAGCTGGTGGTCAGACACGCTCAGAGACTGTCGGGTGCCACGCCTGCCCCATGGCCCTCATGCATGCTCGAGTGTCAAACACCCTGGCACGCAGCCAGTCACGTCCCCTCAGCACACCCTGGACCACGCCAGCCCAGCAGCGCGCCCCACCTCCCCGCAGGCCTGCAGCCTCTCGGCCAGGCCTCGGTTGGCCAGCACCAAGTCGTGTATACGCGCCGCGAGCTGGCCCAGCTGCTCCCGGCCGGGAACGCCCGCCTCTGGCTCGGCCGGCCGCCTCCCAGCCGAGTCCAGGGCCGCCTGCAGGACGTTGATGCTGGTCAGGAGGCGGGCGTGCTCTGCATGCTGAGCCTGGAGCTCCAGGGACTGGTCCGCGAGGAGGGCACGGCAACATGCCAGCTCGCGCTCGGTGACCTCCGCTCGACGCCGCCACCCATCCTCGGCCCCCCGCAGAGCCGCGGCATGCTCGACCTCCACGGAGGCGGCGATGGAGCGCAGGTCCTCCATCTCCTGCCTGAGCCCGGCTGCCTCATGCCTTGCAGACTCCAGCTGCTTGGCCGAGGAGGAGAGCCGCTGCTGCAGCGCTGCTGCGACCTGCAGGCCGTCCGCCTCCTGCGCGGCCAGTCGGCGGCCCAGCTCAGCATTCTCCAGGCATTTTTGCTCGTACAACTCAATGTAGCGCTGCGCTTGGGTGGTCAGGACCCGTATCCTGCGGTGTCAAGGGTAGAGCCCAGCCCCCATCTCACACATGCCCGGGTGCGGCAAAACTGATCTGACGGGAAACACAAAGATGGGACTCGGCATGCGATACTGATTTATCTGTATGACCTCTCTGAGCTGTCGTCTGCCTGCGCCACAGCTTGTCCCTCGACCAAGTATGCCCTGGTCGACATGGGGAGTCAACCCCAGAGGAGGATGGATGTCGTACCAACCCCGTTCTGCACACTTTGGCCAGCGAGCGCCTTGGGATTATTCGAATCATGTTTCATGTATGTGTTCTGCTGCTGTGTACCCCCCGAATCGACTGCGGGAGGCACATGCGCTATCCGAGCTGTCCCCACGGCCGACGGAACGTATGCAGGCTCCCAGCGCGCCCACGGGCTCGATCGTGTCGCGTGGGTCAAACATATCGAACATCGAGCTGCTGCATGCGATGCTACAACTTCTTACCAATTGCATGCTGATTCAGTGAAATCAATTCAGCAAGCAGGCACCTCGGCCAGATGCGAGGCTCCCTGTAGCACGGCCACTGCGATCACTCTCGAGAGGGGCCAGACCTTCACTCGTACTCCGCCCAGACACCCGCGCTCACCGCCATGGCCAGGGGGGGTCGCAGCGGGCGGGCTCGCGGGGAGGTTGCGGAGATATGCAAGGCCTTGGACCACCTCACCTCCATGAACGGCGCCAAGCCTGAGGTCATCCAGATGAAGAGGGACTGCTTCCAGAAGCTGCTCCGCTACATGACACAGGTGGGCAAGAGACTAAATTTTGGATTCGTCTTGCTGCAGGCCCCCAAAATGCAGGGTGCAGGGCCAGGCTGCCGCAGAAGGTCCCCTCAGGGTACTGGTAGCCCTTCCCGCATGCGCTGCTGAGCCTGTCGCCCTAGGAAGGTCCCAGATACATCTAATCCCTGGTCTGTATACCCCAGACCCTCCGTCCTTCTCTCTTTCCAGGGCATCGACATGTCTGCCGCCTTCGTCCCCGTCACCAAGTGCGTGGCGCTGTCCAAGTCGGACCTGCCACTGAAGAAGATGCAGTACTTGTACCTGCGCACCACCGCGCGCCAGAACAGCTCGGTGGCACTGCTGGTGGTGCAGACCCTGCTCAACGACTGCAAGGACCTGGACCCTACCATTCGCGGCGCGGCCCTGCGCTCCATGGCCTCCCTCCGCGTCCCGGAGCTCATGGACACCGTGGTGCGTGCAGCGCTTTCCTGATGTTGGGATCAGGGGTCTGTGACGGCTGGGAGAGTTGGTGGAGTGGATGGTCGCTGGATTGCGGGCACTTGAAAGGGCCTCACCACCCTCGGCCAGCTGCCGGCCAGCCCATTCCAAGCCCTGTCCTCCCCTCAACCCACCTCTCACCCCTTCTTTAATGCCCAGTTCATGGCCGTGGAGGCCGGGTTGAGGGACCCGCACCATTACGTGCGCGAGGCGGCGGTCATGGGCGTGCTCAAGTGCTGGCACGCCGACGCGGCGGGCTGCCGCCTGCGCGGCCTGTTGGGCGAGGTGGAAAGGGCGCTCACGGCTGACGGCGACGCGCAGGTCGTGGCCAACTGTCTCTACGTCATGCAGCAGGTGGGTCGGAACGTTTTTGGGGGGATCTGAATCAGGGGAAGGGGGGAAGGGGCGAGCAGGGCAGGTATTCCTGCACGGGGGAACACCCATGGGAGCATGAGACTAGCCTTCATGTCGCGGAAAGTGTGCAACAAGGCAGTACATACAACACTACAGACACCAGGCTCCCCCGAAAGCCAGGTGAGTGTCCTTAAACTCAAGTACAAGCTCATTAGTACACCCAGGTGGGCGCGCTGAAGGTGACCAGGGACCTCGTAGTCTCGCTGCTCAATCACATCCATTCCTTCTCTGACTGGGCGCAATGCTTTGTGCTGGACATCGTGGGGGATTACAGCCCCGCCTCCGAGGAAGAGCGCTTCGACATCCTGGAGGTGCGGCGGTCGGATGATGTGTGGCAGGGAGTGTGGAGGGCGGGAAGGTGGGAGGGGGGTGACGAGCGGCCGCACCCACCTGCAGCAGCCAGGCGCATGCCGCTCAAGACTCGTCGCCCTCTCTTTGACAACCCTCCCCAAGGGCCATGCCTGAAATTGCTCCCCCAAATCTGAAGACCACCTTTCATCCCCCCTGTCCAGGTGCTGGACTTTGGGCTGTCCCACACCAACAGCGCGGTGGTCATGGCCACGGTCAAGCTCTTCCTCAACCACACGGCCGCCTTCCCGGACCAGCAGTCCCAGGTCCTGGGTCGCGTGCGGGACGCCCTCTTGACCCTGGTGTCCGGCAGGGAGCACGAGGTGGTGTACGCTGCGCTTTCTAACACGCTGGTGCTCGCCAAGCGCCACCCTGACGCCTTTGCGCCGGTGGGTCCTGGGATGTCGGCAGGGATTCCGATGGTCACCTTGAGCCTCGTTGGGGATCCTCAAGTCGTAGAGGGTCCACCATCAGTGCTGGCGTCCTGGACCCTCATGGAAGTGCTGGCAGCGTTGTATGACTTGGCCCTCTCTGATCAGTCAACCCCACTCCTTGCCATCGCGCCATCGCCCTCCACATGAATACCCCTGCCCGCTCCTCTCCCATCTTAGCCCTAGCCCTAAAGCCAGCCTCCAACCCTCCCACCCTGTGCAGCTCTTCACCGACTTCTACTGCCGGTACCAGGACCCCTCCTACCTCAAGGCACTGAAGATCGACATGTTGGTGGCAGTGACCGACGCCAGCAACGCCTACGACATTGCCGAGGAGCTGAGTCAGTACATCCGGGATGTGGATGAGCAACTGGCGCGGCAGGCCATCCGGGCCGTGGCAGCCATTGCGCTCAAGGTGGGTCGGCTCTGTTTGGCGAGGGGGAAGGAGAGCTGGGCGGTGGGAGGTGGCGGACAAGCCGGGGGTGGATGCTGGGACCGCTTAATCGCCAGCGAGCACGCACCCTATCACTGTGGCGAAAGAGCTCAAGGACTGCGTTGCAGACTTGGCTCAGGCCCAAGAGTCGGCTGCAATCTTCCATGGTCGACGCTGAGCGTCGTCCATATCCCAACCACCTCCCCCTCTCTCTTTCCAATGCACACATTCTCCTCGCCAGGTGCCGGAGGTCAATGGCATCCTGGATCGGTTGCTGCTCTTCCTGGGGTACGAAAAAGATTACGTCACTGCAGAGACCTTGGTCCAGATGGCGGTGGTACTGCGGCGCTACCCAGACGCGGCGGAGGCCTGTGTCGACTCCATCGTGGAAGTCAACCCCGAGGTGGGTGGATGTTTGAAGAGGATGGTGGGAGCGTGTCTGGGCAGGGTATAGCAGCGCGGCCACCTTCTCGGGCGGTCTCCTTCCCACGAGCGATGTGCTCCTAAAAGGCGCCGGCTTTGCTCCATCGCCTGTGAACTCCCCCTCGCCCTCCGCGACTGTGATGCCTCCTACCCACCCACCCACAAGGACCAGCAAGATCCCCGACCCCTGAAAACTTTCTGCCCCGCATGCAGACGCTGGCGGGCCCGGACGAGCGGGCTGCCTACATCTGGGTGCTGGGGGAGCACGGGCAGCGCGTGCAGTCCGCGCCCTACCTCCTGGAGGCCCTGGTGGAGGGCTTCGCGGACGAGGCGGCCAAGGTGAGGCTGGCACTGCTGGCGGCGGTGCCCCGCCTCTTCTTCCGCCGCGCGCCGGAGTGCCGCGGCGCGCTGGGCGCGCTACTGGCCGCCGGCGCCGCCGACGCCGACGTGGAGGTCCGAGACCGCGCGCTGTTTGCGCTGCGCCTGCTGCGCCACGACGTGCATGCCGCGCGAGAGGTCCTGGGTGCGCCGCTGCCCCTCATCTCCCGGCCGGGGGAGGAGCAGGCCGCGGAGGTGGAGGTGCGCCCCGCTGGGTTTCGTGGAGGGGTTGTAGATCAAGGGGGGGTTCTGCCTTGGCAAGGGTGTGCCCGTGCTCATTGCTGCCGGCGACCAGGAGTTTGTGGGCATGGGGCGAGCACGCGACTCTCGGCTTGGCCACGATCGTCCCTGCTCCCCATCCCTGGAACCCTCCTCGCGCCGCAGGACCGCATCTTCGACGAGATGAACACCCTGTCGGTGCTTTACCGTGCACCGGCCTACACCTTCATCGACCCCACCATCACCAGCGTCGGTGGGTGGCGGGGGGTGGTGAGGTGTGGTATCGGCGGCATCGGGAGTCCCTGAGTCCTCTTCACGCCTGCGGAGCGCCCAAGTCTCACAGCCACGAATTCCTGGTCCCTGCCAAAGACCCACGCGGCCCCCACCCCTCTCCCATGCCAGGGGCGTACGACACGGACGGCGAGGGGTCGGAGGAGGGCGTGGCAGGCCAGGGCGCGCCCACCGACCCGACGGGGATGCTCCTGGACGTGGACACGCGGTCGGAGGCCAGCGCCGGAACCGCCGCGCCCAGCCCCACGCCCGGGTCCAGCGTACCGGACCTGCTCTCGCTCTCCTCTGGGCCGGCGGCGGGTGCCGGCAGGGGGGCCCCAGACCTGCACGTCGGCATTGGCTTCCCGCCGGCGCCGGCTCTTGCTGGCGCGGGCCTGGACTTGCTGGGCGACCTGGAGGCCGTCGCTGGCTCCTCGCCTGCTCCAGCGCAGAACCTGGGCGCGAGTCTGGGAGGGTCGGGGGCCGGGGCCGGCCAGCCAATGGACGGCGGGATTGCCGACCTGCTGGGTGGCCTGGGGTTTGGCGACCCCACGCCCGCCCGCCCCGTCACGGCCGAGGTGGGAGTAGAGGGGAACGAAAAGACGGGGCTGTTAGTGGCCTGCAGCGGCATCTGGGCCGATGCCACCCTTGCCGACCATGGCGCCCCCGCCAACCCCACACACGCCCACGCCGCTCCACCCCAGACCTTTGCGGCGCGCTGGGCTGAGCTGGCGCACAGCGCGCGCAGCGCGCAGGTGGACCTGCCGCTGGGCGTGCTTCCGGCCGTGCAGGCCAACGCCTTCCGAGACTTTGCCGACCACATCGGCCAGGCGGGGTTCCAGACCCTGGCCCGCCCCGCCGCGGGGGCGGCCCCCCCCCTCGCTTTCCAGCTCGCGACCGGCGCGGGGGTGCTGGCGCGCGTGGCGCTGGCGGCGCCGACCACCTCTGTGCGGGTGGTGCTGGAGGTGGCGGGGCCCCCAGGGAGCAACCTTCAGGATGCGCTGGAGGGCCTGCAGAACCTGCTCCTGTGCCTTTGAAGCCGGCGTGCGGCGGGGTCGACCGGTGTGTTTCCGTCCGCCCCGTCCTCCCCTGTCCTCCCCTCTCATCTGCCGCGTGTCGGCTGGTCTACGTTGTCACTCCATGCCGATGATGCATGTACAAGGCACTTGCACAGGTACCTGCAGGAAGAGCTATGCACGCTGCAGGGCGGCAAGCAAGTCCCGCAGGTCGGTGATGTACCAGTCGGCCCGGGCCTCCACGGCCGGCCGCCGCACCACGCCGCCATACCTGTCGTGGTGGAGGAAAGGGGATTACTGGATAGTGGAAATGGGCTGCAGTCCCCATCATACCACGCCCTGCATGGCATCTACCAAAAACTCAGGTCAATCTGGTCACTAAGCCCCTTTGGCATGCCAGCCGACCCGCGAGAACAAGCTCACCCCACAAACACGTCTGCACCGCCCGGGGCCTTGGCCTCGGCGTCGGTGGCGCCGTCCCCCACCATGACGACGCGCTGGAGGCCGCGGGTGGCGCGCAGGTGCTGGACAGCCTCCCGCTTGCCGCCGGAGCGGGAGGTGAAGCAGGTCGGGTCGAAGCCGGCGTAAGAGCCGGCGGCCTGCAAGAACGAGGGTTTGAGGGGTCATGTGACGCAGAGTGGGTTGCGGATGGATCGTCCTGGCAGGAGGAGGCGGCCAGACACCAGATGTTTCTTGCCGATTCGCATCCCCAGCCATGCCCCAAGCCATGCTCACGTTGTAGAGTATTCGGTTGGCAAAGACGTGGTTGGAGGGGATGCCCAGCATGGCAGCTATGGGGTCTATGATCTGGTGGAAGCCACCCGACACAAGGAAGACCTGGATGCCCTGGGATTGACAGTATGCTATGATCTCCGGGATGCCTGTGGTTGAATGAGAGTGGAAGGAGGGTTGGATGGAACGGCATCTCCTAGACACCGGTCACTGAGCCTGTGAATGCATTGTGTCTCAGTCGATATGCGGGGTACCCTGCTCATCAGGGTCAGAGGCTGACGTCAGGCATCCCTTTTCCAGGCCCCAGAAATGTTGGGGATATATTGAAATCTTGCAGTACCTGGGCTTATCCGGGGGGGATGGCTGCTCAGGAACTCCTCCACGATCTGGGCAGATGGGCTCATGATGCCGAGGCGGGCTGCTAAGGACTCCTGAAACGTTACCACCCCTCCCATGGCCTGGGCTGTCATGGTGGCAATGGCCTCTCCGACGCCAATGAAGGCGGCCAGCTCATCGATAGACTCATCCTCACAGCTGCAGGGCGATGAAAGGGTTGAAGAGCATCACAAGGCTGGGTAATAGCACTGCACACTGCACATGGCTGACAGGGGCCTGCGAGCTCAGATCCAGGGCTGCCAAGCGACAACTGGTCACTCACAATGTGCTGTCTACATCAAAGCAGATGGCGTCAGCGGTCTTAAACACGGTGGCAACCTCTGGTGGAACGCCGCTCGCAGCCGACACTGAAGATTGAACGGCCACGAGGAGCGACGCTGAACTTTTTTGCAGAGAATTGTCAAGCATTGGCAGAGGAGGCATTCCCATGGATGGCTGTGTGTCACCCACCTCACCTCACCTGAAGTGTGCTGTGCAGGAGTTACATGAATAGATTGCATGGATGTCCTGTGACCACCGTGTGCTCTTATTAAAGCTATAGGGGTCCTGTAGGTCCAGTGCCTACAGAATCCGAGCGGGGTCGCCCGGAGTACCGTTGCCCGGTGCTGCTGGCACGGTTGGAACTCGACGAATGCACGCGAGCCCACGCGACTTGCGCGCATGATGGAGTGCTGCACAACTGATATCAATTTTTTATTGTATATGTTCGGCACTGCCTCAGTCTTGGTTGGTTACATACGCATTGTTTGATTGGGCGCGCCAAGTGAGCAGCAGGCTCGCAGCACGCACCCTGATGAAACGCTGATCGATGAGGCTGAGTAAAGCGCTATACCTGATTTACGACCAACAGTGTTCCCCCAGTGGTTGATTGTGTCCACCTTCTTAACATGGGATCGTAGCTGGGGAGCAGCACCATGTCGAAGCGCCCGTTCCCTTATGCCACTGGCGTTCCGGAGTTTGTTGTGGGTCGAACGCGCCCAACAAGCAATCCTACCAGAGAGTACGAGGAGCCTCGTGTGTTTCAGGCCAAGCAGCCTGGAGCCTTTGATGATTACGATGGCCTCGTGGTGAGAGGCATGGGGCCGCTCAAGCTTGGGGTTGGAGAGGGGCGACCTCCTTCCTCAGGCAGGACCCCACCAGCCTCTACATGAACCAAGTGCAGGATCGTCCGGTGGGCACAGACTTCCAGGGATGGACTGAAGAAGAGCTTCGCGCTTTCCTGGATCAACGAGGAGAGGATTTCGAGCCATCCGACGACAAGGCGGCGCTGGTGGGTGGCATTGAAAGGGGGATTGCTTGAAGGAGAGAACTTGCAAGCTGCTGAAGGGATCACCAAGCAGAGCATACTACTTCACTGGATTTAACTATCTCGTACAGGTCACAGCGGCTGTGCGCTGCGAGGAAGCAACTGGGCATGCAGTGCGCCCCGATTGCAAGGGTGGTGCAGGCAACAGCATGGCACCTGCAGACGAAGAGGAGGTGGACCCTCTGGATGCCTTCATGGCAGAGATGAAGGAGCTGGAGAAGGCTAGCGATGCCCAGGCCCCAAGTGCACGAGCAGCTGGCAAGTCTGCTGCAGAACGTTTCGACGAGCTCGACCCTGCAGCCGATTTCCTGGAGGTTGGTTTGGGGACAGCCTTGTTTGGTGGGCTGACGGTTAAATCAGTGAATACATACATTGCAGGGATGTTAGGCGGCAAGACTACCTTGGTATTGCAGTAAGAATAAGGTCCGAAGAGCAATGCCTCTTCCTGCCATGGCCCTAAGTCTGCTCTCCGGGTCATGCAGGCAAAGAAGGCCGGGGCGCTGCCCCCCTCAGCCGTCACGGCGGCGGCCATGCAGTCTGGTGCGGCAGGCGCTGACGGCTCGGACGAGGAGGTGTATGCCGCTGCAGCCGCCGCCCTAGAGTCAGACGCCGACGGCGTGGGTGGGGGCAAGCTGGAGAATTCTTCAGGTAGGTGGATTTTGCAAGGTGCAAAGGATTGTGATCCCAATAGGCATGTCCAAGTTCTGCCTTGGACTCTCTGTGACATGAAGATTGACTCACTTCCCGGTGTCTGGATAATCGTACCAAAGTACCTGCATGGACAGCCCAGTTACTTATGTCCCCACCGTTGCCTGTTGCAGGCTTCAAGCAGGCTGTGGGCTCTCTGGCGCCCCTGGACCACCCCAACCTGACCTACGAGGATTTTGACAAGGACTTTTATGTAGAAGCTCCTGCGTTGACATCGATGTCCCAGGCAGAGGTGGGTGCTGGGAGCACAGCGGCTGGGTCAAGACATTTCAGGACAGTGGGGAGTCAGGGGCGTGCCCGGAGGTGCTGTGAGTGTATATGTTGACCGTGCTAGTCCCTCCCTTCGACCTCACCTACATCCAAACCCCTCCTCCCAAGAATAATCCAGGTGAGTGCGCGGCGGAGGTCCCTGGGCCTCACCGTCTCGGGCTTCGACGCCCCACGGCCCATCGCCACATTCACCCAAGCTGGCTTTGATGCCCCCCTCCTGACGGCTATCGTGAGGGCGGGGTACAAGGAGCCCACCGCGATCCAGGCCCAGGCGCTCCCTGCCATCCTGTCTGGGAGGTGGGCTGGGCAGGTTGCATTGCCTGGGCTGCCAGTGGCACGGTGCATGCATGGATCCTGGGTCTGGAGTTCCCAATTCCTCGTCCCGCAGGAACATGCATTGAGTCCCCGCCCGGAGGGTGCTCTCCCTGTCCAGCATGGTCCCCCTCACCCTAAAAAAGCGTTGCAGGGATGTCCTCGGCATTGCCAAGACCGGCAGCGGCAAGACGGCGGCCTTTGTCCTACCAGCCATGGTCCACATCATGGATCAGCAGGAGCTGGAAAAGGGGGAGGGTCCCATCGCCATTATCGTGGGCCCCACTCATGAGCTGGCCGAGCAGATCCACCGCGAAACCCGTGAGTTCTGGGGCTGCTCCTGAGTAGGGTATGGGAGGTTTGTTTGGTTTGCCAGTCTCAAAGGTCCGCAGGCTTGCTGTAGTAGGATTGCTGGCCTGGGTGGCATAGATGGGGATGGCCGGTGGTGCAATCATGCTTGTGCCATGCCTGTGCACTGATCAGGGGGAGGTGTTTGCCTGTTGACCACTGCTACTTCATTGGACGGCTGCATCTCACTCCTTGAGCCACATCCGTCCGCAGATCGCTTTGCCAAGGGCTATAAGCTGCGGGTGTGTGCTGCGTTTGGTGGCCTCCCCAAACACCAGCAATTCCGAGAGCTGAAGGCGGGGGCGGAGGTGGGTGGGGGGGGGGTTGGGACGAAGCCTGATGACCGATGATATGGCAGCCCAGATTCTGGATGGTTGGAGCCTAGCAAGGGCTGCAGCGCCAGAGGCCAAACCAACCTGGCGTGCTGTGGCCGCAGGCCCCCAGCTCGGGCGCCCGTGCACACGTCGCCCTGAATCCCAGCACCCACCATGACCCATCCCGCCCCCCCCCTCAAGCCCCACACCCTCATGCATTCTCTCCTTGTAGATAGCGGTGTGCACTCCTGGCCGTCTCATCGACCTTGTCAGGATGAAGGCCTGCAATCTGCAGCGAGTGACATATGTGGTAAGTGGCAGCCATGCGGGTTTTGGCGAGAGTCTCCCGCGCTCTGGCGTGCTCTGTGGCATTGTTGCACGCCCGAGCACATGCCTGGCGACGAATCCCCTTGCTCCTCCATGGACTGAATGACCGACGGCCACCTACCTGCCCTGCCTGCAGGTGCTGGACGAGGCGGATCGCATGTTTGACATGGGCTTCGAACCCCAGATCCGGTCCATCCTGGGTCAAATCCGACCAGACAGGTGCATAGGGGAAGAGGGGGAAATTGGCAGGAGGTCGAGGTGATTGTGGCGAGGCCTCGTGGAGACTTGCAGGGGGAGCATCTTTCAGATTCGACTTTACAAGATGCAGAGCAACATTGGGTGAAGACTTGCTGGCCAACCATCTGGCTGGGGACAGGGCGGTCAAATGGTAGTTACACACTTTCCCATCCCAGAGGGCTCAATCCAACATTGCTCCGACTTCCCACCCCCATGCCCGATAGACAGCTCCTGCTGTTCAGCGCCACGATGCCGATGAAGGTGGAAAGGCTGGCCAACGATGCCTTGTCTGGCCCGGTTCGAATCCGCGTGGGCGAGGCGGGAATGGCCAACGAAGACATCAGCCAGGTGGGTGCAGAGTGGGGCGGATCCCGGAAGAAGCGAATGTACTAGACAGCGCGCATCATGGGGTCGCAGCGTCCAACAGATCTCAATGTGTGATGTGGGTGCATGTATTCTAGTTGCATGGTGAGCATGCGTGGTGGCAGCCTCGGGCAAGACCTGGCATTCACTGCACCGCATCCCTCGATTGACATCTATCCCCCAAACACAAAGCCTCACCCCGTTTCCCCCCTTTCCTCACGATCCATAACACAGCGCGTGGAGGTGGTGGCCGACGAGGCGGCCAAGCGCGCCTGGCTGCGTCAGCACCTCCCCACCCTGGTGGATGCAGGGGAGGTCCTCCTCTTCGCCGGCACCAAGGCCAGGGTGGACGAGCTGGCGGCTGAGCTCGCCGCCCAGGGCGTCCGCGCCGGCGCCATCCACGGCGACCTGGACGCCGGCTCACGCGCTGCGGTGCTGGCCAGCTTCCGGGCAGGTACCACCCACGTCCTGGTGGCCACAGACGTCGCAGCGCGGGGCCTGGACATCAAGACCCTGAAGACGGTGAGACGTGGGGTTTGTGGTGAGGGCTTGTTGAGGCCAGACAGTCTCCTGTAGTGTTCCCCGCGGTTGTGCTGTAACCAGGCCACCCTGGCCCCAAAACTCTCACCACCACCGCTCATCCCACCCTTTCACCTGAACATCGCACTCAGGTGGTGAACTACGATGCAGGGAGGAGCATTGACTCCTACATCCACCGGATTGGGCGCACAGGCAGGGCTGGGGACAAGGAGGGTGTCGCATACACCCTTCTCCTACCCAGCGAGGGGCAGATGGCAGGTGGGGCTTGTGGGAGATTGTTCTGAGGGTCAAGTGGCTAGTGCCCTGGCTGTGCCCTTCCCTATTTTCTCTGGCATGCTTTTGCCATGCTTCTAGACAACACATATGGTTGGAACGCTCCTCATATCTACCATCACAAGCGTCGCGACCCTGACTCCCATGCCCTCACAATCAAATAGGCGAGCTCGTGGGGTGTTTGGAAGCTGCCGGGCAGCCGGTGTCCGCTGAGCTGCGTGCCGTCGCCTCCAAAGACCCTCGCTGGAGACGGGGGGCGGGGCGAGGCAAAGGCTCTGGCGGCCGAGGAGGCAGGGGAGGCAGGGGCGGCCGCCGCTCAACGGTGCGTGCTTGTGGGAGGTTGTGAGGGTATCCTGTGCTTTTACCTAGTGCACAGACTGGGTATGCCTGTGGGCTGTGACACCAATGTATTGTGGTCCTCCTCCATGTCTCGAGATTTGGATTGAGGCAAGCCGCTCATGACCTCGGGGTTGCTGCCACCTCAGGATGACTCCTCCCCCGCTTCTCCTCTTCCACAGACGGGCGGCTCCGGCTTGGGCTTTGGTGATGCACCCAGCGTCCCTGCCACCTCAGCGCAGGCGGCGGCCGCATCTGTCGCTGGCTTCACGGCTTCACACAGCTCGGTGGACGCTCACTTTAGCAGGGCAACGCAGCAAGCCCCCCCGCACCCACCGCCGCACCCGCCCGCACCGCCACTGCAGCCGGCGGGCGCGGCGCAGCAAGCGATTCCCAGCGGCGCAGGCGCTGCTCCCCCACCTGCGCCGCGCCCACGTAGATTCGACCAGGGCCCTCCTGCTGCAGCAGGCCCGCCCCACCCTCCAGCACCTTGGGCTCCAAGTAGCGCCTCTTCTGCCGGCACCGGCGCCCCTCCCTCGTTGCCAACCACTCAGCCTGCCAGGCCTGGCCCCGGCCCCACAAACCCAAATGAGGCACGATTTCGTGGCTCCTTCACGTCCTCTGGCACGACACAGGGTGAGGAAGTGCGGTGGGAGGAACTCTTGGGCAGGCGCGTTCCTTCATGGACAGAGTTGGCATGGCTTGCTCTCAGGCATCCTCAACCCAGGAGATACCCCCCTTGGTCTTTGTCTCTGATGGTGTTTACACCATACATGTGCAAGGCTCTCAGGGCGGAGCGGTGATCCACCTCCAAGCACTTCCACCCATCCCAAACGCGCAGGCGACCTCCAGGCGCGGCCAGAGATCCTGCTGCCCAAGCGGGCAGCAGGGGCCCGGCCCCTGCCGCCGCCGCCCGTCCCCGTCACCGCCCGTCCGCTGGTCCCAGCACTCCCTGCGCACCAGCCCTGGCTGCCGGCGGGCCCGGCCCCAGCCCAGCCGCCTGCGCACCGCGCCCTGGCGACGGGCGTCGACCAGACGGCGGTCCAGGCGGCCATGGAGAGGGCACGCGCCATCGCCGCCAGGTTGGCCGCCGGACAGCCTGGCGGCCAGGGCGAGGGGTGGCAGTGGGGCGGCGGCTGACACTCGGAATGGGGTCCGGCCGGCGGGGCCCTGCTGGACCCAGCATGCAAGAGCGCATGCCTGTCTGGGTGCTGGAGCGCACACAGCGATGCGCTGCTCGGCATCTCGAGGTTTCTGTACATTGCTTGCCCTGGCACCCCTGTAGCAGTGCTGGATTACAAAAGGGCCCTCTCGATTCAAACAGGCTGACGCCAGCGCTTGGCACCAGAGCAACGGGAGGAGGGTCGCCCTCCCGACGGGCTCACTCCACCCCTGCCATCGCATGCGCCCGGCAGGCAAGCGGCAGCCGAGCATCCACCGGCTGGTTCAGGGGGTGGGAGGGCAGCTTGCCCTGCAGCAGCCTCTGCACCTCCCCAGCCAGAATCTCGGCCATGTCTTGGTCTGAGGAGGAAGGAAGGGGAGTCGGGAGGGCAGGGTGGGTTGGTGCATGGAGAAACTGGAGCACAACTCAGAGGCAGGGACCATTGCGGTGTGCATGCGCAAAAAGTACGTCCAGAACATGTCCTCGGCGCGTGCACTTGCGGCGTGCAGATCGGTCCCTGCTCATTGGCATCAGAACCCTTCAAGTGGTGTGCCCCCGGGTAGGCCAACCCCAATCGCCTCTGAGCCCGGCCTCACATGACACGCTGGTTATCCCCCCCACATGGGGTGTAAGATAGACGCTGGGGTGGTCTGCGATGCCGTCGCCCTCGTGGGAGGGGTGCGACCCCAGCGGCTCGTCCCAGTAGACATCCAAGCCCATGCCGCCGATGGTGCCGTCTCGCAGGCCCGCCGCTACGGCCGCCCGGTCCAGCAGGCCACCTGGGGAGCGGGGTTTGGGTCACCACGATGAGTTTGCGCTGCAGCAGTGGAGACGATCCCTCGGTGTGGAGTTGCGAAGAAGGGGGGAGGGGCTTGTGTCACCATAGCAGACGGCGTGTCAAGAGTTCCACTCAGGTACAGTCCTGATGAGACTGGCAGCAATGGTGAGGCCAGCCCGCGAGCGTGCACGGTGCCCTGCCTCAAATTCCACAGCGCCCTGCTCGACAGGCAAGAACTCCCACCACTCCCTTCCCCTCCCGCACCCCGAGCGATGTTGATGATGTGAACGCCCGGCTTGCAGGCCGCCAGGAAGCTGGCGCCCACCAGGCCGACGCTGGAGGGGTTCAGGGCACAGGTCAGGATGACGACGTCGGCCTGCGCTGCCAGCCGCGGGACGTCGTCTGGGAAGGTTCCCACATCCTCCAGATCCGCGGCGGTGCCGGTTCTGGGCTCTGGCCAGGCGCTGCGACGGAGGCAGAGCACGCGGCAGCCAAAGGGTTGCAGCCTGGGGATGGAATCAGGGAATTGGGGAGGGTGAGGGGGGGTGAAGGGAAGGGGAAGGAGGAGGTTCTGGACATTGGGGATGTCATCCTAGGCTGGCAACCATGGCGATTGATCATCTTAGGACCCCCCGTCAAGTCTGCCATGGATACACTGTTCTTCCAGGAAACAGATTCCCCAGATAATGTCAACCATCACGGGGCTACCTCGTTCACACACCCCACAGGTTGGCTTCCTCCCCCACGCTCCTCCCTGCACTGTGCGTCGCCAGGTCCACCAAGGCCCCCTCCCCCAGCCCGTCCCCCCAGACCCCCAACCACCGACCCACCTGGTTACCAGCTCCTGGGCAATGTTGCCATAGCCCACGACGAGCACCGTGCTGCCCCAGAGGGTCAGCCCCTCTGGCACGCCCAGCCTCTGGGCCTCCAGAGCGCGGCGCATGGCGCCATGGTGCCTCAGACTGGCCAGCGCGAGGAAGATGGCGTGCTCCGCCACGCTGAGCGCGTTGCCGGTGCCGAGGGACGGGATGTTGGCCACGGTGATGCCCAGGCGGGTGGCGGCGGGGATGTCGATGGCGTCCACCCCCACCCCGAATTGGATGATCAGCTTGAGGCGGGGTGCTGCCCCCAGCATCCCGGCCGTGATGGGCACGGCGATGGGGACCACAACGTCCACGTGCTGCAACGCGGCCCCCGCCTCCAGGCGGTGGCACTGCCTGACCTGCAAAGGAGATTGTGGCATATCTGATCGTAGGTTTCGTCGGGGGCGGGCACGTCGGGCTGCCCTCCCACAAGAGGTACCAGGACCCGAGTGCTCCCTTACCTCGACGCCGGGCAGCGTGCTCGCAAGCACAGCCCTGGTCCTCTGGAAGGCAGAGTCCATGTCCTGGGTACAGAAGAGCACTCGTAGCCCATCCAGCTGGGCTGGAGTGCTGGAGTTCGCGCACTGGGAAGCACGTGGTGCGAGGATGGGAGGTTGACGAGCTCGTTGTGGCGAGGGTGGGAGACGACTGCCAGGACCCATCGCGGGCCCCAGAGATGTCATCGCCCCGTTTGTAGGGATTTGTATATAATAGATCGGTTTGTTCAGAGTTGAAAACCACGTACCGCTGGAGTTTTGTTCGGTAGTGTGTGACTGTGCAGTTACGTGAAGCTCGTGCGCTGGAGTTTCCCGCTCGTTCCCAGTCACCAGTAGACTGTAACCTCAAGAAGCTTGTGATAGCATCACCACTAATCCCCGCGATAGCAAGGCTCTGTTTTAGTACTTGAGCTTGAGCCCACCATCCGTGCGGGCTTTGCTTGCACAGTTCACCCTGTCCGGAGACCCGTAAACCTAGGCCAACCTGGGGGCCGTCGAGGCTGCTGTTCGAATTTGCTGCCACCATGAAGCCTTACTAACACAGAATCTAATATCTACGTAACACGTGGATGACTCCCTGCAAGGGGACCTCAGTCCCTTGCGGCCGTCCGTCTTTGCGATTGCCCGCCGTCCTATCGGGCAGATGGCTACGCACATATGAATGAGTACCGGCCTCCGCCCACCAGCCGGCTCGACATCATTTCATGTCGGACTTCTCCACCGCACCCACTCCCATCCCAAAGTCATTCTCGAGTTTGGGATGCGGTCGGGTGTGATGTTTTTGCTTGTGGCCCAAGTAAACCTGCATGTGTTGGAGAATACTGACCTCCGCTTGCGTGAGGGACAGAGGTGCCATGCGTGGTGTCACCCTCTGAACATTGGCTACATGCACACATATACCGTCAAGCGGATGAGACAGGACTCTCAGCACACGCTTGCCTTAGGATGCTGACTATGGGCATGAGAGCCATTGCAAAGACGCCTTTCGGGGTCATTCCCTGTCTCACTGCGCAACAATTGCCATAGAGTCTATGCCTGCCTGTCATTGCCATTGCACACATGAGCAATTCGTTTGCAGAGGTCTGCACTGCATGGAGCAAGTGTGCATTGGAAATGGCAGGTTTGATGGCTAGCACAGACTCCATGAGACCACTTGCCAATTTAGGCAAGTGAGGACAGTGAAAGGCGTCTTCGCAATGGCACTCGTCTCCGTTGTCGAGTAGAATGCAATCGTCTTCTCTAGGTCCCGCTTCAGCTGCTTGCCGGTGAACGTATGCTTGCAGCCAATATTGAAGAACGACACTGCGCATGGCTTAATTTGTCCCTCACGCCCATGGGCATCATTTCTATCCGACACATATGGTTGCCTGGATCACAGGCACAAACATAATACTGATCGCAGCCCACTCCTATGTGTGGCAATGAGCCGGAGAGGGCGCGGCAGGGAGAAGTGAATGTGGTCAGTCTCGAGCCGGGGACCCATTGGTGCAAATTCCACTTCGGACCTTGGTTTGAAGAGTATCAGTTCGACCGCCGGACGTATCGGACTTGCGGACCTCGACTTGCAGAACTCTATACACGCTTTCAGGAAGGACAGTGGCTCTTATGGCGAGGGCTCAGAGGTGGCAACGTACTCCAACCGGGGCGCTTCGGTAGGCCCCCGGTTGGCTCTTGCGTGTACACTGGCGGGCGATCCGAGGTACCTGGGGCTCGCCCCGCATTGCTTCACCCTATAGAAAAAGGCAGGCTGTACAGATGCTATCGCGAGGGGTTCCAGTAACGTGCAGTGGGAGTTAACAAAATAGAGTAAAACTAATACTGCGGATCAATGGGTGTGACTCTGCTGGGATGGTGGCGGCGCCACTCAGGCGGCCTGTATGGCCGGCCGGAAGGGTGCCTCAGAGGGTCGCACAGGTTCAACGGAGAGGCAGGGCAGTTGCAGGATGCTTGACTTGGCAGGGAAGTCATCCACGACCAACACGCCGGGATGCTCCAGGAGGCCCTCCACATAGCCGTGCCAGTAGATGACCATGCCAGGCCCAAAGCGGTTGACATACAGCTCATACTGCTCGGCGAGCTGAGTCCTACGGCGGCAAGAGACAGCATGGGAGAGAGGGCTTGCCACAGACATCCATGTGCATGCAGCTGACCACTGGGATCCAGCTCCGGTACAATGAGGACCATGCAAGTAACACCTACCTGACCATGCGTGCCTCCGTGCCTCAGCACAGGTCGGCTTCAGGCACGAATTTAAAACCTGGCAGGGGCCTAATCGCCATCAATCTCCCGGACCGGAAGGGTTGCACTCCCACTCCAGCCACCCACCTGTGCATCCGGGCATCCCCAAAGGTCGCCTTGGAGTCTATCCAGTGGACCACCCTCCCCCCCACCGCCACAGGGACCTGAAGCTTGGCATCTGGCGTCTTGAAGAAACCTCGCGCCCTGAGGCCCCCTTCCGTCCAAAAAGCCACCCCGGCCTCATGCAGGCTGGCATACAGCCGCTCCTCGTATGCGCTGCCGGCCCGCGCCCGTGCGCTGTCGGCGCGGGGGCAGCACACCGCGTCCACGGCCACGCAGGCCTCCAGCTCGCGCCGCAGGCGGGCCAGGAGGGTGTCAGCCAGCCCGGGGGTCTTCACGAGGGAGGGGAGGGCCGCCGGGTCTCGGAGGGCAAGGGTGGTGCCCGCCCTGCCCAGCCCCAGCCTGAGGGCCTCTAGCAGTCGCCGGGCGACGATGCAGGGCGGGAGGTCCAGGGCGTAGGCAATCTGGACCATGTCATCGCCTGAGGCGGGGGGAAAGCAACCCTGGGGTACTGGACTGTCGTCCTGCGAAGCGGCCACGGACCGGCTGCGGTGACACGGGACTGCCATTCCCTCCCGGCTGCCCCATCGACCCACCGTTATGAAATCGGGTCATTGCTGCCTCGATGCCCGCCAGCAAAGCAGCATGACGTTTTTTTACTCTACTCTGCACTTCTTGGGCGTAGATGCACCGTACTGTGTCTTCCGAGACGGCAAAAGCCCTCGCCAAGGCCGGGATGTGGGGTTCCGCGGAGGAGGGGAGCGTGACACTCGCGAGTAGGCGCTGATACTTCCCGATTTCCATCGAGCCTGAGTGCAAATGCAGGAGGATGATACGTCCGCCAGTGCGAAAGTGTTCCACCTGGTCCCACACTTGCGGTATTTGAAAAGGCTCCGCAGATCTTACAGAGAGGACGGGAGCCCCCATCACAGCAGCTAGTAGAAGCGCATGTATATCAGACAGTAGTACGGTCTCGAAGGGTAAAACGGCTTTGCAATGACAGGCACAAATTCGGTGCTGGGGGGATCGGGGTCCCAGGGGTGTGGGGGTGCAAAGAGATGTGGTGTGAGGCGAGGGGGCAGTTAGGTGAGTGTGGGGGGGCGGAGCGCCTGTGACCAAGGCTTCTTGTCGATGATCAGTTCGTATGGAGAAAGGACCGGTGGGATGGCAAAACGTGTGAATATATGCTTGAATTACCTCTCAGTTCCGTAGTGCTGCAGATTGTGTGGGGTGGGGGCCAGGGACGTGGATGTTCTCGGGGTCACCCCATCCACTCGTCCAGGGAGCAGGCGCGCCCGAGGCCGCTGCGCTCGATGTCCAGTCCATGCCCGGGTGCGCGCCGGGGTCCGGGAGGGGGGTTCCGTCGTTTCTTGCCTGGTACCCAATCGGAGAGCGAGGCCTCGCGCTTGGCGCTGACCTCGCAGCTCGGGCCTGGGCCGATCGGCCCTGGGGTCTCTCCCTCATTGATGGTGTCGTGCACGGCAGCCTGGAATGCAAATGCAGATTGGGGGCCGGCGGGCTTCCAGCGCGGGGGCAGGCCGTCCAAGACGGGGGAGAAGTGGCACAGGGAGGTGTCCACCGACACCCCCGCAGGCGCCTTGCTCCCAGTCTGGAACGTGAAGCCTTGCTGCCTTGCGCCGTGCTGCTCGGGGGCGGCGTGCAAGGTGGCCTCCGTAGCCCGCCTCCCCGCCGCGGCCTGCGTGAGGAGTGCCAGGCGCAGGGCCATGGAGGCCTGCTCCCGGCTCAGCCCCAGATCGGTCAGCACCCGGAGCACCTCCTCCTCCGTCTGGCACATGGTCAAAGTCCGGGCCAGCTCCGGGGACTCATACTCCGAACAGGTCCCCGTGGTCGAGAGCTCGGAGTCTAGCCCCGTCCTCGCGCTCGTCATGTCGGGGCGCAAGGGGCACCCCGCAAGAGTCGCGACCCCCATGGCTGCTGCAAGGGTGTCGAGAAGGTGGCCTCAGCGCCACGAATCGTCACTTCTGCTTCTGAGATCGGACCATTCAAACAGGGGAGTTCGGTATCTGTAGTCCAACACCAGGAAGATACCGTCCCAGGCCGCGCAACCCTCAGTACAGCCCAGCCGACGCTCACCGGGGCCAAGGTAAGCTCTCGCTACTTGACTAGATAACAAAGAAAACAATCGTACATGAGATTTGGCTGGTCCATATAACCGGCGATCCTTGTCTCGAGTTCTTGGACGAGGATGCTGGAATCCTGTGGCGGGTGGGAAGGGGCTTCGAACTCACCGAGACCGGGGGGGACAGCTTCCCCCTGCTGCAACAGAAGCTGGGCCTACCGATTGTCCGGCGAAGGCTTTCAGACCGTTTGATGCTGCAGCTTGGATGTAGGAAGAGTATCTACAGGTGGAAAAGGCCTGATGCCATGAGACTGAGACTGGCCGTGCATGGAGAGTGGTTACCCAACAGGGCACAGGGTAGAAAGAAAATGAAATCGCTGGTCAAGCTGGCAACATAGCGCAACACCGCTGGTCAGATTTGTGGGATATTGTTGGGAAAACATGTGAAAAGGTGATTGCGCTGCTCAGGAGGCGGTACGCCTCGTCCTGGATGGGGGAAATGCGGCTGGTGGTGGGGCGATACTTACGCCGCGCAACCACCCCTCCCTGCCATCAGCGATGGAAGACGGTGATCTTGGAGTCCACGTCAGCCACGCCGTAGCAGTAGACCACCAGCAGGAGCGGGAGCACGGGGTGCATCATGTAGTGGACCGGCTGGTGGGTACGCCCCCGGACGCGGAGTGTTGCAGCAGATGCTGGAGAAGGAGAGGGTGGAGGAAGGGGCGCAGGTTGGAGACATGAGTGTGGGACGTGCCATGGCATCTTGGCAAGGATCTCTATGAGATGGGATGTGCGGTATAGATTTCATGAATGGCGACTATAAGGTCCTCCACATAGGAAAGGGACCCCTCCACCCATTCCTCCCAAGACAAGTTGGGAAAGAGTGCCCGCAGGCCACAGGCATCCATGCTCGTGTGCGCAGAGGACCAAGCCAGCCCGCGGGCCACGGAGATTCCAATCTGATCCTGCGACACACACCACCAGACCTCCTGGCCCCCACACCTTCTGCGGGAGTCGGGAGGAAGTCGGAGGGATCCAGCACGAAGTTCAGGCGGTACTGCCTGCTCAGGGCCATCCACTTCATGACGCTGCGAGGTGGGGAGGGAGGGCAGCGGGGAGTGTCAAGAAGTGATGGGCCTGAATCGCTGACAGGGCGCCGACGAGACGCCGACAAGCGTCCGGCGTCATGGGCTCCCCGTCTGCTCCCTCCCTGTCAGCGCCCGCGCATGGCCAGGCCCAGCAGCCTCTTTGCCGCTCTCCCACCGCAGCCCCCCGCCATCCACTTCCCCCCCTCCCAAGAAACCCACCGTGAGGGTGGGGTGCGCCAGCAGCTGCTGCCGTGGCTGTCCCAGAGCAGGCCTTCGTCGTACATGAAGAGGTTGGAGTCCATGTAGGGGCTGGCGCTGCCCCGCTGGCAGGCCAGGGGCAGCGTGTCGCAGACCCCGGTGCCCACCGCCTCGCGTCCCGGCGCGGGGGCCGGCGCCGGGGCGGGCGGCCGGCTGCGGCCGCGCTGCGCGCGCCGGGAGGCCAGCGCCGGGGTCGAGTGCCGGTCCCACTCGGTCACGGGGTCGGGCCACATCGACCTGCCTGGGGCCATGGCAAACCTGGTGCGCGATTGGTTGCAGGGGTGAGGGTGGGGTTGACAAGCTCGGGGAACATCGCGGGTGAGTGGGGAGGTCGATGCAGAGGCGTCAAGGTCCACGGGAGCCTGGATCATGACGTCAAGGCGGCACATTGGTGACAGAGGCTGTGCATGGTCGACGGGGGGACCCGACGCGTCGGCCATAGGAGGGGGCCCTGCACTCTCCCGATGCACCCGGTGAGGAGACACCCGGAGCGGCATGGACATTCCAGACACACGACCATCCCTGCCCCCTCATCCCGGGCACTGACCAGCCGTGCAGCGGCTCGCGGTCCAGCACCGGCTCCAGCGCCTCAAACTGAGAGCTGCCGGGGTCAAACACGCCCACCCAGCGCTGCGCGGGCCAGCTGCCACGCGGCGCGGAGGCAGGGACCAGCGGGTCCTGCCAGCACAGCGCCAGCCTGCCGTCCTCCACCGGCATGGCCTGCGGGTGGGAGGGTGGGGGTCCGACGAGGTGGGTGGGGCGGGCTGGGGGGCTTGGGGCTTCTGGCCGCGCATGCAACCAGCTCCATCCTACCTTGAGCACCCGACACACCTGCCTACACTTCCCCACCCCTCCACCCCCCTTCGGGCAGTGCCAGCCCACCCGTTTCAGCTGCAGCCTCATGATGACGGGGAAGACGGCGTGGAAGGGCAGGCCCTCCGGCCCGCCGCACCCCCAGGCCTTCACCGCGCCCGCCCCGACCACCGCCCGGCCGCAGCAGGCATGGAAGGCGTAGGCCAGCATGCGGTGGGTGAGGGAGGGCAGGATGGGCGAGTCGCCGTTGGCCAATGCGCCCGCTTCGTCCCCGGACTGCTGACTGTGCATGTGCAGGAAGAGCGCGTCGTCCTCGTAGCAATTCCTGCCGATGTGGCGCTCCTTGACAAACTCGCCGCAGGGCAGGACGCGCAGGATCAGCACGCTGCGGCTCCGTTGCTGCAGGGAATGTTAGGTGGCAAAGAGGGGAGTAAGTGTGTGTGTGGGGGGGTGGAACGTGTCTGGCGTGTTGTCGGCCGGGACAACACTCAGGCTCTCCGCTGGAGCATGCAGGCAATGCATGCACATTGCGAAGGGTGGAACTTTCATCCTGCATCTTGCACAGGAGCCTCAAAAGACCGTTGCGCCTTCATCTGGGCTGTTGCTGCGGCAGGTGCCCGGAAACATTGCCCACTGGTGCCAGACCCCAACCGACATTCTCGACCCACCAGGGTCACCACGACTCGGTCCCTGGAGGCCTGAACCCCGAGATTGAAGTCATCCACGTAGTCGTTCTGGATGTCCCAGACTCCGTGCGGCTCCCCGGTCGCCAACGCAAACTTTGGGGGTGTGAAAGGAGGGTGCAGCTGGGTAGTGATTGGATGGGATGCTCGGGGTACTGCAGCTCAGCCACCCCGGGGAGCAACCAGCTGGGTACGCCAGTAGGCTGCCCTGTACGCACAGCGCTCCTTTCCTGCATGCTCAAGATCTTCTGCGCAGCCATGCCTGTGTCCCACGCACAGTCCACACCCACAAACCACACCAGTTTGAGGGAGAGCCAGCGATACGAAGGGCAGGAGTCGCGCGAGCCTGCGGCAGAGCCCCTGCTGTGCTCGAACGAGGCGCACACGACCATCAGGTACTTGCCGATCACCAGCTGAGGAGAATAGGAAGCCAAGGGTGGGGTTGGGATCGATTGGGTGGAGGACAGAAGTCCTCTGTGACCTGCTCCAAGTGCGAAAGTCCAATGACACAGAGCTGTGCATTCCCATGTAGGTGTGGTGCCTCCCACGAGCCAGGCACTACATCTAGCACATCTACCCTTCAATTTGTCCTTACTTTCCTCCTCCAAGCTCTCACCGGCGCGTCTGTGAAGCGGATGTACCCCTGACCTGGAATGACCGCCTGCGCCCTCCAGAGCAGCGGGAAGTAGGAGAGCAGCGGCGCAGGGGGCAGGCGGCGAGGGGCCCGGGGGTACGATCTCTCCGCGACAGGCGCAGCGCCCACCCAGCTCGAGCTGGGTCCCTCCACGGCCAGCACCGCCACCTCGTGGGCGTGGGGCGCCAGCGGCGCATGCTGGAAGGCGGTGAGGAAGCGGCCACAGGGCGTAAACCCCGCGGGGTGCAGGCCCTGGGGCTGAGTCAGCACCCTGGCTGCATCGCAGGGGTTGAAGTGCTCGTACATCTGTCGGAGATCGCTGGTCTGAGGAGGAGCGGCGGGGAGGGGCAGATGATCGCCGGGGTTACCGCTCGATGAAGCAGATGCAAAGCAGGGTTTCATGGCATGCAGACCGACCAGCTCCATGTAACAGCTCACTGGTGCGCCCTGGGTCTCTCGCTGCAGCAAGCGCTGCTGAAGTGTGAGTCTGGATGGATCTTGCGGCATTGCAGTCCCAGCCTAAGCTTTGCCACCGCTGTGTGCTTTCTCTGGCCGGGAGCGAAGTCACCGCCACGGCTCCGTGACGGCCCACGCTTCTTTTGAAAGGGCATTCATGTCACCATTATAATGCTTGCAACTATCCAATGTAGAAGTATGCGGTAAAGGTAGACTTGCCACCCATGATGGGCCATGTCGACAGTGGGTTTTGATCTCGCGCTTGCTTCCGCCCGAATCTTTTCTTTGGCGACCTGCGCGCCTCGCACGCCCCATCGTGCTTCCCGGGCTACATCATGGGCATCCATGCTGCAAACCCAGAGCTGACACCCATTTCATCGAGAGTCGACCAAGGACATTGCAATGCCGGTGCGCCATGCTGTGCTTGTTTCGGGGCCCCACGGAAATGCACCCGGCCGTCCATGCATCTGCTTCATCTTCGGAGATACTCCACACTCCCGTGTCCCCTTCTCCACACAGGCGATGCTGAGGTCTCTTCCCCACACCTCTGTGGCCCCATTTAGTAGAGGTGTGCACTGATCGGGCCGTGTAAGGGGCCCAACTCCCAGATCCCTGTGCCGAGGTGTACCAACAACCCCGTCTCCATGCAGGCCCCCTGCGGAGCCGACCGAAGGCCACCCGCATCAGCGCCAAGCTGACACTCGTTCCCAATGGCGATGGCAGCAAGGACCATCTGAAGGGGGAGGATGATGTGGTCCAGCCTGGGCCCATCTCGTTGAGGTCCGGCACGCTGGAGCTGGGTCGCAGCAGTAATGCCGACATCCGACTCGACATCCCCACCGTGTCGGGGAAGCATGCTCGGATCAAGGGTGGGTGGTAGGACTTGGTAACGTTCTGGACGTGGATGCCGAGGGCATGATACAGATTTTGTTTGTGAGATCATGTTTTTTTTCACCATTTATGTATAATGCCATGAAGCTGTGAATGGTGACCCATAGGAAGAGCAGTATGCAGTTGCATCCATTCAACACGATGATCAGCTTGGACTCCCTGCAAGCTCCTGGATGCACCACATTCCATTTGCATCCATCTCCTTGCAGTGGAGAGCAGCAAGATCCTGGTGACCGACCTGGGCTCCACCAATGGAACGTTTGTAGACGGCAAGGAGCTGCCCGCGAATGAGGAGGTGAGTAAATGTGATGGGAATGTTGCCGAGATAGATTGCACTGACCCCTGTTGCCTGCCCAATCTGACAGCACAAGCCGATCGTTTGGGGTGAAAGATCTTTTGTATCTGATTGGCATCCCCTCCATCCCTTCTGTTCCAGAGGGAAGTCCTGCCAGGCGGGGAGGTGACCTTCGGCGACGTCTACCTGGCAAAGTTCAGCCTCGAGGAGAGTGCGGACGAGGCCTCTGCCACTTCCACCCAGGACACCGAGTGAAGGGGATGCCCCGCCTGATCGATGATGCTATAGACTGATTGGTCACGAGCACTTTTTGCATCAGTGGATTGGTGTGGACCATGGCAAATATTCTTCCTTAGTGAACCCCAGGCTCCTCCCAAGCCTAGGGCTTCTTGCAAATGGTTGCACACCCTGTCTGATATGCATGCCTGCTTTACATGTTGTTGTGCTGATGTGGCATAAAGAAGGAGTGGTACAGGGTACACAAGGCACAGACCGGCTTTGCACGGCCTGATGGCAGCATCGAGCAAGGTTCGCAATTCGGAGAGCGTCAGTTCCAGGCGACAGGCCACACTCAGGCGGTCATGACCGCCACCTGGGCATTCCCAGAGCGCTGCCGGCGCCGCGCAGCCTTGGCCTCCTGCTTCTGCTCCTTCCAGGCGCTCTTGACGTGGGCGGGGGGCGGGGGACGCAGCCACTGCCACCAGTGCAGGCGGTACAGATCCTCGGGTGCGTGGAAAGAGCGGCGCCTCTCCTCCTCCTCCTCCTCTGTGGGTTCTTGGGGCGGGAAAAAGCGCCTGCACCGACAAAGGGTGGTGCATTGGGCCACTGAGCTTGGGTAGGGTCTCCATGGCCAACGCAGCTTTATGCCAGGAGGAAAGAGGGGTTGAATCCCCTTGTTGATACCCCAGAACTACCCACCTGGAGATGAGCTTGGTCAGCAGGCTGACCAGCAGCACGCTCGAGCCGATGATGATGGACAGGGCCCATTCCAGGCCCGACAGCCGCGTGGTCTTGAAGATGCCGTTGAGGAAGAACATGATGATTACCTGCATGGGCACGTGGGTTTGGGGTGGAGTGAGGTGTGTAGGGAGCACCTTGACGGGACAAAGGTTTCAAGGCCGTCTGATCCCCCCCCGTTCGCACCAATACCCCATCTGAAGGGTCGAGATCCATCCCATTTCGCCTGATGACCAAATCCCCCAGTGGCTCATGCCCCTCGGCTGGCCACCTCTCCCCCTGGCCCCACACACGGCGCCGCCCACCCCGCACAGGCACGCACCTGGAACCCGACGGTGAGTGCGAGCACCACGGTGAATACAATGGAGGAGAGGAAGCCCTTGAAGACGTTGAGCTCGTCCCGGATCTTGCGCGAGTTGATCTCATTGAACAGCTGTGCGTGATGGGGAAAGCGGTAGATGTGAGCCAGGAAAGTTGAGCTCATAAAGCCACAGGGGCAGACGCGATGCATGGCGGCTGCTCACCACTCACAAACAAGCCCCGCCCTGCACAGCCCAGCCGCCGCCAGTGCATGCCCATGCACAGCGCTTACCTGGAGGAAGATGAAGGTGTTGAAGACCATGCTGTTTGTCAGCCGCTTGGCTGTCTCCTCGGTGGAGGTGAAGCCACTCTCTGCACGTGGAGGGGAGGCCAGGTAGCTTTTTCATGGGAAGTGACATTCAGGTGTACTGACGCTGACAATCCCACAGGGTTTTGCACCCACTCCACTCTGAGGCGGTGCAGCCCAGCCTCTCTCCCCGCCCACTCCTCGACTGGCATGATCACCCTACCTGCGGCGTCGTAAGCACTCTGCATGCTGGTGTAGCGGCTGCAGCCCGTCTCCTCGCCACTGCAGAACCCCGTCTGGCTCGGCTCGGTGATGGTGCAGCCACCCTCTGGATACGTGACGCAGATGGGCGTCTCACCTGTAAACATGGGTGGGGTGGGGGTGTGGTGAGGGCATTCCAAAAGGAATGAGAGTCATTATAGACCAAGCAATGCACAATCAATCATATACGCTTATGCATGCAGAGCAAGCGCCGCAAGAACTTCACCCAGGCCTATCAAGGACCTACACGGTGGTCAGCAAAGGTGCACCTCATCTTGAACCATGCAAAGCTCCCTTCCTTCTTTCATCTCTCGTAACCCATCATGTACCCCCCCTCCCCCCCACCACCTACCCGGGAGGTACATGCCGCCGCCAGACTGCAGGCAGGCGGCGCTGCCTGCCTCGCAGCACAGCGTCGTCTGCGCCTGGTAGTAGTCGCACTGGCTAGGTATGGCGAAGGCCGGGAGCTGGGCCGGCATGCCGTAGAAGATGAGGAAGAGCCAGAAGCACTGGTACAACGCCTGGACCACGATGTGTTTGGCCATGGTCTTGTTGATGAGCGACTCGTTGCGGCCGTGGGGCCGCTCCAGCAGCAGGTCGGGGGTCGGGTTCTCAGTGGCCAGGGCTGCAGGGAGGGTGAGGGATGGGAGAAGAGGCAACATTGAGGCAGCTGTGATACCTCACAGACCCAAATATCTGTGTACTGGGGATGGCTTGGTGGTCTGCGATGGCCCAAGGGTTGGAGGAGTCTTTTTGCACCCTGCATCCCTGCCACACCATGTGGCATCTCATGCATTAGGGCAGCCAGGCCACTGCTCAGCACAGACAGAACTTCCCCCCCCTTTTCAACCTCCCGGCCTCACCCAGGGCGGCAAGAGAGTCCATGATCAGGTTGACCCACAGAAGCTGCAGCACATTCAAGGGCTGCTCGCCCTTGGACACCGCGGCAATGAAGGCCACCGTGAGGGCCACCAGGTTGATGGTGAGCTGGAACTGGAGAAACTTGCGGATGTTGGAGAAGACAGAGCGCCCCCACAGCACCGACTTGACGATGGAGGAGAAGTTGTCGTCCAGGATGATGATGTCAGCGGCCTCTTTGGCAACCTCAGTACCTGGAGGGAGCGAGGTAAATCAGGGTGGTGAAATATTAGACTTGGTGGACGCAGGTGGATGAAGTGGGAAGACTGCAGGCATGCAGAACTACAAGGGGAGCGAAACAAGCCTCATGCACTATCATGCCCCAATAGACGCATCACACAAACATGCAAAACCCCTTCTCCGCCCCACAGTCTGCCCACCTGCAATGCCCATGGCCAGTCCAACATCCGACTCCTTGAGGGCAGGGGCATCATTGGTACCATCACCAGTGACCGCCACCACCTCCCCCAGCCGCTTCAGGGTCCTCACGAGTGTGTGCTTGTCGGTGGGCGATGAGCGGGCCAGCACCTATGGGGAGAGTGGGGTAGCACGTCTGGCCACCTGCAGTACCTGGATCAATCCCCCCAGAAGCTGTGGGGCGATTTCACAGCTTTCATGCCGGCATGTGCCTCACCCATGCACACCGGCACACCAATAACCTCATACTCCCCTTTCTTCCCAGACAGCCATACCAACAGACACACACAAATACACTCACCTGGAGGCGTGGCAGGAGCTGCAGCAGCTCCTGCTCGTCCATGTTCCTGAACTCTGGCCCCTCCATGGCGACGCCGTCCGGGGTCAGGATGCCGCACTCCCGCGCGATGTGACAGGCGGTGTGGATGTTGTCGCCCGTCACCATCCGCACCACGATGCCGGCGCGCTGGCAGGTGGCCACCGCCTCGGGGACCTCCTGGCGCACAGGGTCCTTGATGCCCACGATGCACAGCAGGGTCATGTCACGCTCTGGCGGCTCGGACCAGGCATCCTCCAGCGCCCCCTTGGGCACCGGCACATCTGCACGCGAAAGGGTTGCATGGACGGAGTGAGGGGTGTAATTCTCCAACGCTCTTCTACACGGCCAGGCGTCGACCACAAAAGGGGTCAAGTGCCTGGTAAGGCTCAGGAGGAGCCTGGTTCAATCAGACAACACCATTTGACTCCCAGGGTACACCCTGGCGTCAATGTCAGGCTGGTAAAGGGCTGTGACTGGGACATAGGTGCACAATGGAGCACCCACATGTCTAGGATCCCACCCCTCAACCCGCCAGCCCCTCCCAATTCCGGGGGTAATCCCTCCTTCCCCTTGCGCACACTTGCCTGCCATGGCCAGGCACAGGGTCCTCAGCCCCCGAGTCGCCATCGCTGTCACACACTCCTCCAGCTCACGCCGGAGGTCGGCGCCCAGCGGCCCCGCGCCCCCTGCGCCGCCCGCCACGCGGCTGCAGCGGCCGAGCACCACCTCCGCTGCGCCCTTGCACAGCAGACGCAGGCCGCCGCCCGCGCCGCCGCGGAGCAGCACGCTCGACATCTTGCGCTCCGAAGAGAAATTGAAGACCATGGCCACGTCGTCGCTCAGCGCGGCGCGCACGTCGCGGTAGTCGCGCTCCCAGCCGCGCGCCAGCATGAGCAGCGCGCACTCCGTGCGGTTGCCCACGAATTCCACGCCGCCGTGCTCGCCTTCCACCAGGAACGCCTGATGTGCGAGGAGTAAGGGTGGAGTAGAGGGGTCTGGAGGTGGAGACTCAAGCAGGAAGAG